GCTAGTGTCAGCTCACACCTAGTGTGGTGAGTGTTGTGTGTGTGTGTGTGTGTGGTGTGTCTGTGTGTGTGTGATGTGTGTGTGTGTGTAATATATTATGAACACCACATATACTATAACAACAATATAACACACTCACTACACACTAATCAACTACACACACAACATCACAAACACGCACACACACTCACATATCAACATATACACATAATATATAACACTAACACTAATCAACACACACATACGCGACGCCTAGCTCAGTATGCACGCGCTCGCACACTAACTATATGTACTTTGTATTATAATATTATATATATCACAGCGTATTAGATATAATTATCCACACCACATTTATATATTAATAAATTATAATAATTAATATGTATTATTTCGATAGATTAATTATATGTAGATATGATAGAATATTATAGTATTAATATATATATTTCATATTAATTATTTCATTATATATAATATAATATATAATAATAGATACATATTATAATATATACATATACATAACTTGAAATGTATGTTAATAGTATATATAAATATATTATATATTAACATACATATATATATTACATATATTATATTTCAATAACATATATAATTATAAATATATTAATTATATTATTATATATATATAATTAATATATATATTATATTAGAGTTGTTGTTAGTGTGTGTGATGTGTGTGTTGTGTGTGGTTGTATGTTGTATGTTGTGATGTGTGTGATGTGATGTGGTAGTCGTTGTGTGCGTGTGCGTGTGTGCGTGTGTGCGTGTTTGTGTGTGTTTAGTGTGTGTGGGTTGGTGTGTGTGTGTGTGTGTGTTATATAGCGTGTACGTGTGTACGTGTGCGTGAGGTGCGTGTGCGTGGTGCGTGTGCGTTGTGATGTGTGTGATGAAATAGAAGCAATAATAATATAATCCACATGACAGTCATGACAGCAGTATTTAAATACCCTAATTGCAACTAATGGATAAACTGAAAATTAAATCTTTAAAATAAAATGTACATTGATATATTATAGTATTATATTATAAATATATAATAATATAATATACATAATATTAAATATATTAATATATAATGATATATAACATATCTATATATCTATATTCTATCTTAATTATACTATGTGTGTGTGTGTGTTGTGTGGTGTGGTGTGTGTGTGTGTATGTTTGTTATCATCATAGCATAGATTATATTGAATGTTAATTTTATATTATCATATATAATACAATTATATAATTATATCTTGCTATGATATAATACATATGATATAGATTATATATATAAATAATACATCCTATATATACCATATATGTAATAATAATATATACATTATATAATAGTATTTAATATATATAATTTTATCAATATATTAAGCATACTATGTAATATATGATGTAATGTACAATACATAATTTTATTTTTTTTTTATGTATATATATTATATACTATTACATATATATATATGTTATTAATAATCTGTACATAGATATTAACATATATTTATATAATGTTAACATTATTAAATGATGATTAATAATATAATAATAATATATTAATATAATAATTATTAATAAATTAATAATAATAATATATATAGCTATATATGGTATGTATTAATATGCAGAAATCATTCATTAACTCCTATGATATAAACTTTCAGAGTGAAAATTATCAATGGAAATGACTGAGCATTTATTGATTTCGATTGATTGACGTAACAGGCTCTAAGACAAGTAAATACCTGTGACCATTGAAATCATCCAATTATTGTTGGAGATCCGGACTGTAAGGAAACACGACCACTCGCGGGAGATTCCGATAATATGCAGACTTCAGACAACTCCCACTTTTCCGTTCAAAACAATAATACGTAATAAAATAAAGAAATACATCTGAGAGTTCACACGGCCTTGCAAAGCGAAGATTGGTGTATATAAACAATTTAAGTTTCAGAAAAGTCGGGGACTTTTCCCGTTTTATTTGAAGCTTCCATAATGTCCTGCTTATAATCGAAATGGCACCGGCATATCAAATACTTTAACGGTTTTTACGGACGTTCTCTGTGAAACTAAGAAAAATGACTTTGTACACAATTTTATTGATCTGTCCAAACTTCGATGGTACCCGTGTAGCGACCGCGAAGCAAAAAAACAATATTCGAACCTTTGGAATGCTACAAAAAGGCCTTTTATATACATTATATCCTTTACATATATGCTTGTATACGTATATACATATACACACATATGCATATATCTTACATATATATGCATACATAAACACATATATAAACAGGGGGGACACACACCATACATACATAGTTTGTGTGTGTGTGTGTGTGGTGTGTGTGTGTGTGTGTGTGGTGTGTGTGTGTGTGTGAGTGTGCGTGTGTGTGAGTGTGCGTGCGTGCGTGTGCGTGCGTGCGTGTGCGTGCGTGCCGTGCGAGCGTGTGTGTGTGTGTGTGAGTGGGTGGATGGG